TGTTCGGACATGGAATTAAGCTCAAGAGTTTGATGAAAAGCACCGAAAGGTTTTCCATGTTATCAGCTACAAATCGCACAATGAATGATGGTTTCAAGTGCAAGTTTCTCACCCTCGAGCGGCTATATGTGGGCTGATCACCAGGATCAATGCACGGGTTCTCGTTGGTGTTCACTCTCAAAAACTCCTGGTATCGCAACTGCAGCCGAATATCCTCAGAAGCTTCAATGTAGATGTATTCCAAAAAACTGTCGTCCTGCTCCAGCCCAGCTAAATCACCCTGCTATCAATCCCCCGAAAAAAATGAACACTTTTGGTGCGACTTACAAGTCAAAATCTCATTGGGATCGTGAACATACACATGGAACCCATACTGAGACACTCCATACGAGTCCACAAACCTTTCGATTACATCGTGCTTTAGCGAGAATATCCATCCTCCCGATATGCTGTAGGTACTGGATGTTTCTCTTGGCGTGAACGAGAAGCATTTCCCGTAGCTGATTGTATGGAATAGTGTCCATTCCGCAGCTAAAAGTGGGGTTTTATTCAAACGCAAGCGATCGTAGCAAGGATTATACCTGCTAGATGCATCCCCATTCCATTGAAAGCATAGGAATTCACAACGTCGTCAAAGTCGTAGGTCGTATCCTCCAAGAACTCCTTAATAGTGAAGTTGTCGAAGTAAAAGTTCCGGAAAACGTTCTGATTTAGCAAGCTTTGGCCGCGCCGCAATCCGTAGTTCTGCAGGTTTGTACTGCTGTAGAATTTTAGAAAAAGTCGCTGGGAAATTGACTCACTGGAAATATGTCCGTGTTAAATCCGGGTCTTCGGCAAATGGTCACCGATGGATATCTCATGCTGTCGTTCAGGCGGAAGCCATAGTAGGTGGTGATTGGGGGCACAATCAATCTGTGAACGCATTGCCCGACCTTTGCGTAAAAAATGTAAAAATCAAGCTAAAGGTTACAGATGAAAGAGTCTTTGAAAATAGACTCTCTGGATGGACAAGACTGGGGAGTAATCACTTTAAGTTTATTTTCCGTGAACTTGTGATTTTATACATTTCGGTGCAATTGCAAGAAAATGTATCGAGCTTGCCGATGTTGAATCACAGAGCTTAAAGCTAAAAACTTACTTGATAAACGGAAAAACAAGTGCAACACACAATGACAACAAATTTAATAAAATGATTCGGACTAGTTAAACACTGACTCAAATTGACTGTATCCATCATGGTGTCGATTGTCGTCAAATATCCAGCAGGAAAAACATCTCAGTTAAGCTCGTACCGATGTTTGGAATTAGGTTTTGGACTTTATCATTGGGACCATAAATTCCAGAAAATAATTACTCCTCAAAAAGACTTATCTTTATTAGCCAACAGCGAGCGTTATTGTTTTCGGCACTAAAATAGTGGAGTTGTAATTTCTTCCTGCATAATTTATTCGTCGCAGTAATAAAGTGTCTAGTTTTATCGAGTTTGAGTGAATCGCTAAATACCTCCATATGCATTAATTAAATAATAGCTTACTCACTACAAGTGGAAACGTAAGGCTCACTCGAAAGTTATTTTGTTGATTCTACCAATAGCTGCGATATTTTTAGATCTAGAGGTGAACTATTTTCTTTACAATTTTACGATACAAACGATCCCGGAGCGATGGAAATGATGTGAAAAAGCCAACTCACCTACAAGATTCTCAGTTATTTACCTGAATTATAAATACATTTTGGTTTCACCAGAAAAATTAAGAATCTGCAAGAAAGCACAAAAGTTTCTTTGGAATTGAAGTCAAAGCAAGTGTGTTTCCAGATAACGCAAAGTTGCTAAAATCCCAAACGCAATAGAATAAAATCTAGAAGAAATCCGTTACATAAGGAACAGCATCTAGAATTGTAGCCAGAAATGGATTTGTTGGCAATAAGAAATCTAGAAGAATCATAACGGACGATGTAGTGAAAAGTTGTGAGTCAGTTGTTGAGACCAGGGCGAGATACGTCCGATGGATAATAATATGCAAGTTGGCAACTATTCTGTGTTCCAATAACCCGAAAGTTATGTGGGATAGGCAGAGATGGACTAAAAATCGAAATAGAAAATACATTTTCTGATATTTCCACGTAAATCAGCCACTGGTCATTAGAGAATAAAGTGTCAAGGTTTCCTATCTTCAACTAACGGTTCAAGTACTTATTTTCAGTTTTAAATAGAGAAAATCGAGCCTCGATTGTTGATAAACGGCGGGTAAATTTAACGTGGGCGAACTTTAAAATTTACCCGCTGTTTTTAAAAAAATTGTTACTTCCATACCACTTGAGATTGAAGAGCGGTTTTTACGGAAATAAATAGAGCACGATTCACTCTATACCCTGACAAAGTTTGGTCTGCTTAGAGGTTCGGGTTGAATTTTGAAAATTACTTAAATTGAGACTTGCTATGACTTTTACGTCTAAACTTACTCGCGGTTTTTCAAAAATTCTTCGCGATTAAACTAGTAGAGATTGGAAAGAGGTTTCTCCGACAATAAATAGAGCAAGATTCACTTTATTCGTCTTCAACGTTTGGCTTACTTGGAGATTTGTGCGAAATTTTGAGAATTTCTACAAGTGCGATTTTCAATGGCTTCTGCTATTAAGTTTACCAGCCGTTTTCAAAAATTGTTCAAAACTATCCTGCTAAGATTGAAAATTGCGTCGTTTGCCTCAGTAAATAGAGCAACTTTTACTCTTTGCTTCCTCACAGTTTGGTTTGCTTAGAGGTTTGGGCTCAATTTTGAGAATTACTTAAATTGTGACTTGCAATTAATTGTGCATCGAAACTTACCCGCTGTTCATCAAAATTTGTTTGCAACCGAACTAGGAGGGACTGAAAATAGCTTTTTACGGCAATAAATTGGAAAAACTTCGCTCTATGCTTCCTCAAAGTTTGGTATACTTGGAGGTTTGGGCTGGATTTGGGCTGAAAATTACTCAAAATGAGACCTTCATCCAACGTCGCGAGTAAATTGACTCGCTCTTTTTCAAAAATTCGTTGTGGCCAAAACAGTGAAACCTGAAGATCTATTGTTGCGTCAATAAATAGAGGAAGTTTCACTTTATATTTCTTGCAAGTTGTGCTTGTTTGAAGATTTGGGCTGAATTTTGGGAATTGCTGCAAGTGCGATTTGCAATGACTTTTCAACTAAATTGTTTTTTTCAAAACCCGCTTTTTTGAAAAATTCGTTGTGAGCAAAGCAGTGAAGCCCGAAGATCGTTTGTTTTGTCAATAAATAGAAAAAGATTCATTTTATGTTTCCTGCAAGTTTGGTAGGATTGAAAGTGTGGTTTGAATTTTAACAATTACTCAAATTGAGACGTGCATTAACCTTGGCGACTGCGCGACCCGCCGTTTTTTCAAATTCTTTACGGGTAAACCAGTTGAGTCTGAAGGTTGCTTGTTACGGCAATAAATGGAGCAAGCATCACTCTATATTCCCTCACAGTTTGGTTTTTTTGCCGTTATAGGCTGAATTTTAACAGTTACTCAAAATGAAACTCGCAATGACTTTTCCAACTAAATTTACCGCCGTTTCCCGAAACTTTACTACGAGCAAACCATTTGATATCCAACAATGACTTTCACGGTGAAAATAGAGACAACTTTACTTTATGTTGTCCTCAAAATGTGGGTTTCTTGGAGCTTTGAGCTGAATTGTAGCAATTAATTAAAATGAGAGTCGCAACGGCTTGAGCGATTAAATTTTCCAACCGTTTTTGAATTTTTTTTACGGACAGTCCCGCTGAGATTGAGAATGGGTTTTGCTGCAGGAAATAGAGCTAGAATCATTCTATGCTACCTCAAAGATTGAGTTAATTGCAGCTGTGGTTTGAATTTTGAGAATTACTCAAAATGAAACTTGCAATGACTTTTGCGACTAAATTTGCACGCCGTTTCGTCCGAAAAATTATTTACAATCAAACTGGTAGATATTGGAGATCAGTTTTTGCTACAATAAATAAGGCGAGCTTCACTCTATGCTCGTGCTCAATTTAGTTTTCTTGGTGTTATGGGCGAAATTTTAGCAATTATTCAACGTGAGACGTGCAATGACGTTTGCGGCTAAACTGACCCGCGGATTTTCAAAAATTCTTTACGAGCAAACCGGTTGAGTTTTAAAATACGTTTTTGCAGCAATAAAAAAAGCATGAACCACTCTGTGCTCTCACAAGGTGGGAATCACTTAAACGTTTGGGATGAATTTTGAGAACTATTTAAAGTCAGACTTTCAACGAGTTACGAGTAAATTAACCCGCAGTTTTCCCGAATGTTATCACAGCCAAACCCTTAAATATTTTGAGAGCGATTTTGTCGGCAATAAATAGCGCGAGCTTCACTCTGAGAAACCCTCATCAGGTTTTGAAAATGATTTAATTATTTTTGCCATATGTAATAGTTCCCAATCCCGATCCTGCCCGTATAATCCTTTGGCTGTGGATTATTTTTATCCCTCAGTACAAAACTGAATAACTTATACTAAAAATAAAACACGACTCTCGTAACAGCCTATTTTAATTATCTTTTTGCTTTGAAATTCTTTATAAACTTTATAGGTCTTTCGTAGGTGACTGTTCAGGAATCGCCTGAAATATATTATAAGATTTTAGATGAATCATATTTTTCGGAATTTTGTTTTTTAAATAATTAAACAACATCATGTTAAGCAATCGTACATTTATCAATCAAGCGTATGAAGAGTGTAAATTGGATTTTTTATTTTTATTGGCAGGTGTTGTATGATAGTGTTTTAAAATTAGTTTGTTTAAAATTATGCTATAAAGATTTTCATTGAAAGTATTTACAGAAATAGATTCAGGACATGCGAGAAAAAGTTTTATTTTAGACTCCTACTTTTGTTCGAAGACCAATTTTTAATGAACAGAGAAGATTGATGACTAAAAAACATTCTTCTACTCAAAAGAGCATTTGGAACCGATTTGTCCCGATTTCATTATGAAGTTTAGTCAGCTTACTATAACTATTCATCTAAAAATAAGACTAAATGAGCATTTGAGAATGACCGAAAATCCAACTTGAAGGTGTGAAAATGCACCACTTGCCAAAAAATCGTTGCAGCTTAACTAAGTGCATAAAAATATTAAATCGGCTAATTTCACCGTCTGCCGTTTAATCACGTTACCGATTTCAATCTGGATTGGTGTAAATTAATTTGTTTATATTTACTCGAAAATTGAGACGTGTGTAGCTAATTAATTATAAAATTGTGGAAATTATTAGTGGATGGACGATTTGCCAAACGATCTACATGAAGGCTAGTGGAAAACATGTTTTTAATGCTCTATTTACCGGAAATCACTGCATGCGATCAAGCCTTTGCGAAATATGAAAGCAAACTTCTATGCAGAAAATTCATAAATTCATTCATTACTTTACTGGATTTTCGAGTTTATCGTTCGTTTTATTTATATAATAATATACAGGGTGTTGTCCTATGTATTGTACAAGTGGAGAAGTACATTACAAGCTGAAGCCAGTGACGGGAAAATGTAAGATAATTATGTAAGATAATTATGTAGGATTTCCATTCGTCTGCTGGTGGCATCTTTTTCGCCTGTACCCCATTTGTCGCACCTTTTTACGTGAATTTTGATATTAATCCAGAATTTCTTTTTTTACAAATAATTAATTTCCTTTAATAAATCCATGATATTGCGGAATTTTAGAACTTCACCCCAAGGTAAATTGATGGTGTATTGTCTTATTATTTTTTCGGCCAACTAATTTTAACTAATCCTTCAAACAAACATGTTTGCTCCAAATGAAAATAGAAAATTGAGAACTCGATGCGCTTCAGCTCTCGTGGTATGACGCTTCATGCTTTAACTATTATATTTTTTAATTGGGATAATTATATTATTTAATACGTGAACGCGACCTAATCGATTGCAATACGAGACACAATTCGGCCAAAAATGAATCCAGACCGTCAGATGTTGCGAGCATTCCAAAAACAGGAATTATTTCGGACTCATAAGTAGGTTAGCACGGATGCGATAAATTTAGAATGATTTCAAATGGAACTTAAGAATTCTGTGTTATTTTAGATGCATCATTTGGGCGAAAAGTCATCAGAAGCACTTCAATGAAATGGCTTGAGCAAATCATTTTCTTCCACTCACTTGCTAATTAATCTGCTCGGAGCTGGAAGTTGAAATAAAAATCCTGTCCAAACATCTGAATAATAAATAATCTGAACTTTTTAGTGCGAAAACAAGATTTCGGTGTAGTCCATTCTATTTTTAAGGCTGCTGAAAATAAATGTATTGACTGCCGGCCCCGATTATCTGTTATTGCACGTTCAGGCCTTACAACTTTTCAGCGTTATGCAAAATAATCTCTGTATGCCGGTTAGATTTTCCTTGTAAGTGAAGAAAATTATTCTTCAATTTTATATTCATTTTAATTCTAAATTCGCCTAGCGGACAGGAGAACAATTTTTTTAAACATACATTTTGCATTTTTTACATGTAACACGAGACTTTTCAGATGTATTGATGAATTTTTTCTTGCTAGTTGAATCGCTTGTCGAGGTCCTATCGAATGGTCAGCACGACCTTCAGACTTTTAACCGCCGGATTTCTTCTTGGAGGAACTAAGGTTTAGACTGGAAAACCTTTCTCCAATCTCGGAATTTTGCCTCACAAACCAAAACTAAGTAACTTTTTCATGCAAATAATTTCCCCCAAATATTCCTCTAAACTGATTAAATATTTACGCAGTCATCGATCCACAGTTATTCAATTAAACATATGTATTACCAAAATAGATCTCTCTGTACAGGTTTAAAACCTCAGGAAAACTAATAGACACGATCTGTATAACTTGCTAACAAATTATCCAGAGCAAACTTAGGAAAATTATCGACAATTTTCAAAATTACTAACTCAAGTCTCCTTATTATAACTAAAACATGACTTTGTCGTATGGAACTTGAAAAATATGCAAAATGTATTTACAAACAGTTTTAGACTGCATGACTGGTTGGATGAATCAGGTTTTGGACCAAATTTCACTTTGTGATTTAAATGAAGCTTGCAGTTCGGGTCATCAAAGCAACGAACGCAGTATGAGACTGAAAAGCAAAAATTAATTCAGGTTTATCCAATTTAAGGAAACAAGACTTTTTAATTGGATGTAAATTTCAAACCGCTTAACTTTCTTATTTTTTAATGTATTTAACAAAAGTGATTTGTTTAAGCAATAAATTGCTTAGCAGGGCGGCGAAAAATATATTTTTTTGTCGTTTATTCGAACTATTTAGCACTAAGATAATTTTTTTCAATTAATTTAAGTTATCCATTAATTTTCTGTATTTGGCATAATTTTTTAAATCGTCGCGGAAATATATTGATAACGCTTTGTTGAATTGAATTTATAACAAAAATTTCTGTAATACTTTGATATCTTTTCATGTTTCACTAGACTGATTTTTTTTTCAATTGAATTTTTTACAATTTCAGTTATCCAAAATCATTAAAATTTAGTTAAAAAACCCGGTTTTTTATAAAAAATTATCAGAATGTGTTCAGAAGTGTTTTCCTTAATTTTCGATTGTAAATTAATTTGAAAGTCACATTCATATTCAAGATATTGTTGTTTTTCTATTTTGGCCAGTAAAATACTAAATTTTTCGACCTTTTTTAAAAAAACTGTTTTGGTTTTATTGTATAATAATTGTTTTTTATTAAGTTTGCCAAAATAGAATCACCTGAAGAATGTTCGTCGAATTATTGATTTTGCAAGATTTATTACCGTATAAAGCTCAGTTACAAGAAGACGAATTTCACTTTATGTTTTAAATTAAGCCTGAAGAATGAGGCTTAAAAGCAAAAATTAACTTGCTTTCTCTAATTTAAGGCTTAAGTTTAATTTTCTTATTTTTGAATGTATTTATCATTTAGTTTACATGATTGTTTAAGCAATAAATTGCTAAGAGAGTTGGCAGGGCCAGCAAAAATCAGAAATTCAAAAAGTTCAAACTTCAAAAATTAAATTAATTAATTTAAATTGCATATATTCTCAACTCTTCAATCACTTTGTTGGCTTGAATTTTATAATACAAATTTCTTTGATAATTTGTAATTTTTTTACGTCATTTTTTCACTTACATCGATAAATCAGATCAAAATTTTGGCTTCTTTCTATTCCCTTTCTACTGATAAAATTCTTTTGCATATTTAATTTTCCAAAATCATTAAAATTTAGTCAAAAAATACTGTTTTTTTTTTAAAAAATTACTTCCAGTACCGTATCTACCAGAATGTGTTCAGAAGTGTTTCTTTCAATTTTTGATTGTAGATTTAACATTTGATACTGACTGAATTTCAAACCATGTTTAATACTCAGATATTGTCTGGCTTATTTGCGTCAGTAAAATGTAAGTTTCGTGATAAATAGTTTTTGTTTTAATTTCCCACAATCAATTGAAGAATGGACTTCAAACTATTGACTTTACATTTTTTATTACCGTTTAACGGTCAGTTACACGAAGTAAAATCTCGCATTTTCAAATATTGCGAGTGCTGAACTCATTTACCTTTAAATTGTTCCTTTCGGGTGGTTCATGGTATCATTATAAACTATTTTATTAATTTACCATACAAAAATAGTGTTTACGTTGATATGGATTATAAAACTGTTAAATTATTAATAAAATAAATTGTATGCAAAACGCGTGCTGAAAACTGCAGATTGACCGAAAAAACAAGCATTAATATTGAAAAGGCATTTAAGATTCGTTAGAAAAATTAACGATATTTAAACTCTCTAAACGCTAATTTGCCAATGTTATTCTTATATTTCATTTAGTTTCTTATTTAACAGGTTTTAAGTGAAATTTCCTTCGGCTTTCTTCAACCGCACAAAAAGGCAGAAGTCGTTGCCGCAATAAATTTTAAAGCATGTTTAACACTTACTTTAGTTTATTAATTAATATCCAAGAGCCTCTGCTTAATCGTAATGTGCAACTTTTCAAAGAGCTAAAAATTGGCTACATTAAAATTTACTAACATATATTTAAAATGACGAAATCGGCCTTCATTTTAACGCAAATTTAATACAGCGAACCGTACAGGAAAATATTGAAACAAAGCAAGTTTTACTGCAGAAAAATTAAGGATCAATTACAAACGTTATAAACCTTGTAGTTAACGCTACTCTCGTGTGATAAACGCTTGAAAATTTTCTGCATATTCCAATAATAACACTTGACCTTTCTCGTTTTCAAGGCTAGTCATTCATTTGGTTGAAAAATACTCAATGAACTAAATTGAATCAAATCCAATTAAAATCTGGAAAAAAAATGTATTGGAATTTTAACTGCAAATTTCACAGTTAAATATCTGATTTCATAATTACTGAGTCTGAACGGGGTTTTGACACCTAATGAACTAAAAATTAATGTTTGGGAGTAAATTTTCCATTTAAATCTGCATCCATTACGGTTTTCAGCCGATCAGGGGCAAATAGATTCAAATCAGGTCTAAGCCCCAATTGGACAAAGTTGACCGAAAAAAACCCGAACAACAATCCTCGCGAAGCGCAAATTTGAATATGTGAACCAGTGGGTTAACAAACCCAAAATTTCCCCTACCCACAACCATCTAAAGACCGCTATACTCCTCTCGTCTAATTCCACACCGTTCGGAAAGTATTTCTGGCTCCTAAGCCCGTTCCCTGCTCCTAAAAAGGGAGACGACCGGGCTTGTAACGCGATTGGCCATTGGCCACGCACGCTGACCAATAGGAAACGGTGTTACATTCCAGGATCTAGTATCAGACATTTATATGTCTTGTAACCACCGAAAACTCGTCCAGACTGCCTTTTCGAACGTAAGTGTTAAGTGTGTCCGCATCATCGTGTTTTTTAACACACACATATATATAGATATATATACAGCGCATTAAGGGTGTGATTTGAAGGACTGTACCATCGCCATTCAATTGTGATCAGTGAATTCAGTGAGCATTTGACAGTGTCATACTAGCAGCCACGATTGTGATATATGTGCATTATTTGGATTATTTCGAAACAAGTGGTCTGTGATGATGCATTCCCAATGTAGATTCAGTAGTTTAGGGCTTGTTTTCACTACTAATGTCTGCAAATGACACTCAAATCAAAACGAGGGCCAGTGATAGAGTAGATTTAATCAGCATGGTAGCAGCATGACATCGACCAATCGAATCGATTTCACTGTTTTCCTAATGTTTCAATTTAAAAAAAATCCTGTCCAAAAAAGCTTTTAAAAAATTGTCAAACATGTTCATTTAGGCTTCTGATGTAACAACCATCAATTGTCTAATAAGAAAAAAATTTCCATCAAATTCGAATCAAGACAGTGTTGAGTTGGCTGGATAACGTCAGCAATTGTCATTTCTTCAACTGTTCTATCTAGGAAATGTCAAAATTACCAGCTAGTATGACACATTGACACATGTCAAACTGAACGGTTACGTATCATTGGGTGTATGACGCAATGAGTGAATGAATCAATCAACTTTGCCTGAGCTTAATTAATGAATTAGAATTATTAGCCGATATTCATCCTTGCTTGTTGGCCTTCTACATACAAATTACATAATTTAAGTATTTTTGAGTAGAAAAAAAACCTCGCCTAAACATCGCAATTATGTGCCAATTCACGTGTCCAAAATGCATGAATGAAATTGATCCATGCTGTAGCAGGTCGGTGCCAAAAAATTAATCCCACATTGTACGCGAAACTTCGTAATCCGAAAAATTTCTCAACTTCACGCTCCAAAAAAACAATTACGCAATAGCAGTTCTAGAAATAGACGGCCAGCATTGGTCCGACCACGAATAGAACAATTGAAGTACGAAACAGTGGAATGTGTTTAGCGTCGAAGCCATCTTGGATTTTTTCGATGCTCATCTCACACCTTACATGGATGACGTGGGTTCTGATGCTATTTTTACTGCTCAGATTCGTATTCTTGAACGGCGCGGCCTATCGAAAACACATTAAGCGAATTGATCCGATTTGATGCTTGATCTACATTCAATCGATTCTTCCAAATTAAATCAATTAAAATTCCAATCACTTTAGTTTTTTTCGCCATCGCTTAGTATTTGCGAGTTTTACATGAGGAAATGTTTAAAAATAATTTGTTGAAACACCGTCTTCGGCTTCCTCTGTCCAGGCGCGCCTTCATCAGTTGCAACATTTTCCAATTTCATCCGAGTTTTATTTAATTGATCTTGCATTAGCAAAAAGTTATTTTTAAGTATTGTTTAAAACACGCAAATAAAAAAGCAATTAATCGAGGAAACAACCAAAGTGAATGGAATATGCTTGAATATGAATGAATAACAAACGCTTCCAGGCTGCAAGGTTTATAGACAAATGATATTGAAACTTTAGAAGTGGCAGCAGCTAAGAACCGAATAATTTTTCTCTGTCATGCAACCAGGATATTCATCTAAAAATAGGCTCCAGTAAAAATAGCCATTATCCAATCTACTTGCCAGATTGAGGCGTTGTTGATAGCCAAAATCCGGTTGCAGACTCTTTCGACGCAAACACACTCACAATCTATTTATCGAAGGAATTTTCACTTTCAAATCAGACCAGCTTCTCCGGATCTGCAGCTAAATTTAATTTGATAGTGTGCAGGTAATTGCTCACATTACATCTGCTGCTTGATTCCAATCGGGCCGAAGTAGTTTGTATATTATTCGTGTACTTGTAATGGATATACAGTGAGTTTAAATAAACAGCCCGGCAGCCTTTTAAGGCAAAGAATAGGCAAATTTGGAAAATATAGTCGCAGCAAGGAAGTAGTTATGATAGAAAAGCAAACTAAGCTCAAGGACCAGTAAACAGTTAAAATTTCTCAGTGATTGACGCCTACAACACTTGCGTATACACGCATCGACGGCAGAATAATTATAGAATTATTATGAAACATGATACTTCTACCGGTTGTTTTCAATGCTACCAGAAAGTCGATATATTGCAGGATGTTTTAACACAAGTAATTATTTTTTGATATACCATCAAAAGCGCTTAATTTTCGATATGCAAAAAACGCTAAAACCTTCCTAATTTTTCCTGTGGAGGCCCAAATATCGGTTTAATAACACGTAAAAGTTTCGGGTGCTGTGCATTATCAGGAATTTTTGTGGAAGCACAAAAATCGGTACTAAAACGCGTAAAAGTTTGGGTTTCTATGCTTAATTAGGGATTTTTTGCAACTATTCGAAATTGCGCAATTTTGACTAAAATGGCTTGCCTTCAGATCTCCAACTGATTCATAAAGAAATTATTGCACCCAAAATAAAAACTGTTGAATTTTTACGATTTTTGTTGTGGAAGTACTATTAGTTCTATACCAAGTTTCGGTTTCGGTGCATTGTCAGGGATTTTTTTGCAAATTTTCACACCTGAGCAATGTTGACTAAGCTGTTACATCAGATCTGCAACGGTTTCTTAAAAAAATAATTTCGCTCAAAATGTAAAAGCTAGAACTTTCTGAATTATCGAATTTGAAGCTCAAGTATCGGTTTCATAACATGTAAAAGTTTTGGTATCTGTGCATAATCTGGGATTTTTTTATACATTTTTGAACTTGAACAATTTTGACTAAGATAGCCTGCACCAAATTTTGCAAAAATTATTGCATCTAAAATAGAAACGCTGGAACCTTCATAAATTTTGCTTTGCAAGCGCAAATATTAGTTTTGTAACCAGTAAAAGTTTCCGCTTCTTTTCATAATCAGAGATTTTTATAAATTTTCGAATTCGGGCAATTTTGACTAAGATGTCTTGCAACCGATCTGCAATAGTTAAGCAAAAAAATAGTTGCACGCAAACTGGAAAAGCGGAAAGCTTCCGAATGTTTTCTTGGGAACCTCCAATACCAATTGTTGGAGCTCGCGTTGAATAGTCGCGTGAAATAATTTCAAATTAGCAAAATTCGCAAAAATCTGGAGAGGGTTTGGTAACTCAGTGTATGTTTTCGGGAAGGTAGCACAATTTTGGGTATATTGCGTTAAGATCAGAGAGCTTTTGTACGCATCAAATGACCGGATAGAATGAAAATAAACATTTGCATTATTTTAAATGAGAAAACGCACCTACGAGCGAGCGTCTGCATCCTTTAAGATGCCTCCGATACGTATGTACGGACATTTTCTCATTTGAAATAAAGCAAAATTTTATTCGTCCCGTTCGTGGGTCGCTAAAACGCGCGCTTCTTCAAGGAAAAATGTCCAAAATTGTCACAAAACCATACATTGACTTACCAAACACCCTGTATATTTTTGCCAACTTAGCTGTACAAAACCTGAAAAAAACTTTGTATGTAGAAACGCCAGCAGGTTGGTTTATAGAAAAAAATTACAACAATAAACAACCGAATGTCCAATGGCTTTTACCCAGAAAACCTGAAAAACGATTGTAAATAATCCAAATTTTATAACAACAATCTTCCTCCTGAAATGGAAAATGTTGCGTTTATTGGCATGTTTAAGTGCTGTGTTTTAATGGCATGTCCAAAAGTGCATCAAAAATGTATTCTCAAGAAATGTATCCTCACTCTAAACATCTGCATGAATTCTTGATACAAAAATAACCGCATTTTTGAAGAAAATGTCTCTAAAAGGTTTAATTTGATTGCAGGAAGGCTCTAGGGCTGTTTATACGTGTCTCGATAGCCCCTTCGTAACCGTCCGCCAACATGCCAAAGCCAGCAGCGAACCAAGAGGATGAAGATCCTACCCCATACCTCTTCGTCTCCTTGGAACAGAAACGTATAGACCAGACCAAGCCCTACGATGCCAAAAAATCTTGCTGGGTCCCGGACGAAAAAGAGGGATTCATACTTGGTGAAATCAGGGGCACCAAGGGTGACCTTGTCACCGTTGGTATTCCCGGAGGAGAGGTAAATAATCACTTTTCACGATTACCATTTGTTCTTTCAGCGGACTAGTTTCAACACAATGATCTGTTATGTTCGAATTCAAATAATCAGCATGTTTTGAGTGTAGGAGAAAAATGTGAAAAAGGATCAAGTTTTCCAAGTGAATCCGCCCAAATACGAAAAAGTCGAAGATATGGCCGATTTGACCTATTTAAACGATGCTGCTGTATTGTACAACTTAAAACAGCGCTACTATGCTAAACTGATTTACGTAAGTTGAACTTGTACCCGTATTAATTAGCGTTTTCTTCGCAAATCTAGGAAAAGAATTTCAAGAAAGAGTTGGTCTCCCAAGTAAATCCCCCCAAGTACGAAAAAGCCGAGGATATGTCCAATTTGACATATTTGAATGATGCTTCAGTATTGCACAACTTGAAACAACGTTATTATGCCAAGCTTATTTACGTAAGTCGTCGCGTGTCCAGGATTGTGCCCGGCCGCAGGACTTCTTGGAAACATCGGCAATACACCGACCAAGACGTTTCGTTGTTTGGATTTTTCAGTGTTAACCAGTCTCCAACGTTATTTTTTATGGCAAAATCCGTTAAAACTATCAAAAAACATGTCCGGATAATGCCATGGAAGATAACTGAGTTCCCCCACTAACCGAAAGCCTCTACACCCATATCAACATAGGATAGTGGAGACGTGATGTGTAGGGCAGGAGTTAATTTTTTTCGTTTGCCAGAGCGAAAGCTCAAAAAATAACATTTTCTGATTTTGAATGCTCCAAACCTGCGATTTAGTCACAAATACTTCAGACTTTATCCAGGTATTCAACAGTGAATAACTTTTGTATGTCCAGATACCACTACTTTTATCGTAACTGGTTCTGGTTTGCTAGACTGGGGTGCATTTTGGTGTTCTTCCTTACTGCAGAGAAATTTACCGATTATTGCACATTTGCAGACCTACTCCGGTCTTTTCTGCGTCGCCATCAACCCTTACAAGCGCTACCCGGTATACACCAACCGTTGTGCAAAACTCTACCGTGGTAAGAGGCGTAATGAAGTGCCACCCCATATTTTCGCTATTTCTGACGGAGCCTACGTTAACATGTTGACCAGTAAGTAACACGAGCACAATTCTAAAAATTCTTCTCACTAAACCGGCATTTTTCTTTCCAGACCACGAAAATCAATCTATGTTGATTACGTAAGTATCCCGACGAGTTGGAGATGACCGAAATCGCTAAACTCCTCTTTTATCCAACAGTGGTGAATCTGGTGCCGGAAAAACTGAAAACACGAAAAAGGTAATTGCCTACTTCGCCACCGTTGGTGCTTCCACCAAGAAGCCCACCGAAGAACAGCAGAAGAAGGGTACCCTTGAAGATCAAGTAGTGCAAACTAACCCCGTACTTGAAGCCTTCGGTAACGCCAAGACCGTGCGTAACGACAACTCTTCCCGTTTCGTAAGTTGCTGTTGTTTCTTCTGTGTAAAGTTTTCATTCTAACTCTGATCCTTCACAACTAGGGTAAATTCATCCGTATCCACTTCGGCCCTACTGGAAAATTGGCTGGTGCTGACATTGAAACCTGTAAGTGGTACTTAGATCATTTCGCGATATTTCTTTAATGCACTGTTTGTTTTCGCTCAGATCTGCTGGAGAAAGCCCGTGTCATTTCCCAACAGTCCCTGGAACGGTCTTACCACATCTTCTACCAGATCATGTCTGGTGCCGTTTCCGGATTGAAAGGTACATAAATGACTTTCATTTCGCCCACAGGCAAATCATCCATTCGTAATAATTTCTCTAGAAATGTGCTGTTTATCAAACGACATTAAGGATTACTATTTCGTATCACAGGGTAAACTCACTATTCCCAATATCGATGATGCGGAAGAATGTAGTTTAACTGACGTAAGTGGGTTTTAGTCGCCCACTAGGTGGTATTTTTCATACTTAAAACCCTGCCCCGTTTCTGATTTTCTCCCCCTGTAAAGTTCTACACCTAGTCTTGACCCCTTGTAAATACGAGCAAACGTCCACTAGCTTTGAACCTTCGCCCACTGTACATGTTTATAGCCCCCCAGAAATCTCTTAGAGGCAAGGATCCCACCACCAACGCAAATCGTATGCATCTACGACCCCTAAAGTGTTTTGTTGTATTCTTTAGAAATGTGTCTCTTGTCCAATAATGTATCGGATTACAACTTCGTCGCCCAGGGCAAAACCACAATTCCCAACGTAGACGACAACGAAGAATGTAGATTAACTGATGTAAGAGGATGAGGGAATCACCCCGCCTATTTTCTAACGGGGAGGAAAAGTATCTTTGCAAATCGAATTCTGGCGATTTTTTTCGAATTGGCCAAAGACGCTTTTCCTCAGGTTTGGTACAAACACACGCCAAATGACACAGGATTTATCGGGCAAAACGCGATTTGAATCTCGCAGCCTCTATATGTGTTATTCCCTGTATGTATGAGGCTGATTTAATGGAATGACCTCGTAAATCAGCCGCTATAATGGGCATTAAGTTTGGGAAATTCGAGCTACTCCTTCGAACCCTGAACTCAAATGCACCTTGTGTGGTTTAAATCAGTGTTAGAGAAAATACTCCTTTACATCTCCGAACTGGGGGTTGTACACAAGTGGGTGACATGAATTCCCCATGTTTTCCTTGAATGTTTGCAAAATTGTCACACTCAAGTCTTTTCGCTGAAAAATGGACAACAGCAGACTCGTGTGGGTGCGGTCGTTCAACCAAAATCGAAGAGAAACACAAACCCTGTACTTGTACCCTTCTAATGAATAGAAGTGGCCAAGTAACATCTACTTCAATATTTGTGTTTACTCAACCCGATTATTCCTTCTAGAAATGTGTTTGTTATCTAACAACATCCTGGATTACAACTTCGTTTCCCAAGGAAAAACTAAAATTCCATCTGTAGACGATAATGAGGAATGCCTCTTGACTGATGTAAGTCCCCTACTAACCGAACAATTCTGATGTTGGTACATCTGCATTACATCAACTATCAAGAGACACATTTTGAAATGGGAATAATTTTTGCTAAACATTCATTGTTCATCCAGCTACAATTGAAGCTATGACCAAGCACAAATTGAACACATGAACTGCTCTGAGTCAAGAATTTTTTTTCAGCAATCAAAAACTATTCTCATTCGCCCGCTGCGAAGATTGACCTGCTATTTGTTTTCCTTTTATGTTTCCTTTTATTTGCAGCTTTGAGTGGTGAAATAGTATATCTTTAGCCTTTTCCGTTCGAAGGGTTTTATTTTGTGTACAAATGCTTGACATACTATATTGCCATCAACCAGGCAGGTCCAACATGGAAACTGCGATCTATTATCCTGAAAAACGCTCAAATTAACCATTTAAACGAATTTTCCTGTTGGCAGAAATGTGCTCCTTGTCCAACAATATCTATGACTATAACAACGTTTCTCAGGGTAAAGTCCAGATTAACGGGGTAGACGATGGTGAAGAAATGGGTTTGACAGATGTAAGTAGAGCCGCAAAGCCCGTCTTTGTCGTTCTAGATGTTTCCAAACGTCCATCGTTTTCGTTCATGTTCTTGTTTATCGTTAAATTGTTCTGTCCCAGTCAGGTCAAACGTATTTTCACTAACATCTACCCGACCAGTTTTGTGACCGTTAACGCTTCCTTTTCCAGAGCTTTGTTCTATAACTTCATGTACTGGTAAGTCTCCCGGAACAGTAGGATTTTCCCACTGATCCAGGAAGTGCCAATTTGGTGCCAATTTTCAGCGAGCAAAATCGTTTAATTTACTGTATCTTCCCCATGTAGCAAGCCTTCGATATTCTTGGTTTCACCCAAGAAGAGAAGAACGACATCTACAAGATCACCGCCTCTGTCATGCACATGGGTACCATGAAATTCAAGCAAAGAGGTCGTGAAGAACAGGCTGAAGCTGACGGTACTGAGGTGAGTTCAACCGCGCGTTAAAATCCTCTGGAGTTTTAAACTAATATAACTTTCCTGTGCAGGATGGTGAAAGAGTTGCCAAACTCTTGGGAGTTGACACCACCCAACTCTACACCGCTCTGGTTAAGCCCAGAATCAAGGTCGGTAACGAGTTCGTTACCCAAGGTAGGAACGTCAACCAAGTATCCTACTCCGTGGGCGCCATGTCGAAGGCCATGTTCGACAGACTGTTCAAGTTCCTGGTCAAGAAATGTAACGAAACTTTGGACACCAAGCAAAAGAGACAGCACTTCATTGGTGTACTGGATATTGCCGGTTTTGAAATTTTCGACGTAAGTTACGGAAAGTTCTTCAGCAAGAAGACTTGCCCCTATTGGTTAAACTTTGGTTAATCCTGTACATGGTGGAAGTTTTTTGACATATACCGTTTACATTCAAGGCGCAACAATCATTCTACTTTTCACAATTCATTCACGTTCAACCACATGAACTGATTGCTGCGCTCCATTTTCTATCTAGATCCACTTAACTTCACACAACATTATTCACTCACTTGATATTTGGAACTATAGTCTGCACACGAATTTTATGTAAAAACAACCGCAGTTATTCTAGGTAGCATTTGGTGGGACCTCATGTAAATAGGTGTGGAAGCACGTGTGCTAGAATGTCTGATAGATGGATGGGACACGATTTCACCTACACCCAGCGCTTCAAGCACATTGCTAAAAATGTACTTTCTTTTGCATAATCCACACAGTATAACGGCTTCGAGCAGCTTTGCATTAACTTCACTAACGAAAAATTGCAACAGTTCTTCAACCATCACATGTTCGTGTTGGAGCAGGAAGAATACACCCGGGAGGGTATCACTTGGGTCTTTATTGACTTTGGAATGGACTTGGCCGCTTGTATCGAATTGATCGAAAAGGTTAGCTTGCGCCATTAACAACTCTTTCGTGCTCAGGGCAGTTTAGTGGACAGTAAAAACCACTGTATTTTTGAAGTTGTTCCAAGCAAAGGAGTTATGGAGTTTAAAGCGTTCAAAGGATAAAAGTTTTTTACCCTCAAGCTGTCTGTTTCCTTATTCAGATGGCATCGGCGGGCCTCAACAAAGCTGTAAATCACAGGCTCTCTTTGATTATACCGGGTGATTCAAAAGTTCTCTAACAACTTTTAGTTGCTGATTGTTGGCACTATTTTAAAATGAATAGAGCTAATAAATGAAGGTCCTAACAGAGTGTTAGTATTTTATTGAGGAACATGACATTTTATTAATATATTCACAACTGCTAGATATATTTTAATGAGTTTTTGCAGATATCAGTAGATATCGAGTGGGCATGTTTCTATAGAGTGAAACATTTTCGGTCCACCAGAATCATTGCCTGTTCAATTCCAAACAAAAAAAGTCTTCCAGTTTTTTTCGTGCAATGCTTCATTTTCGAGTATTTTTTTTCAATATTCCAAAAATGTTTGAATATATTGTTGCGCAACTGATTTATCAAAAAAAATAATTCTAGCCGCTCATTGATTTTTTAATTGCAAACAAAAATAATTCTTGAGTGCTTTTTCGATCAACGCATCATTTCCCAGAAAAAAATACTTGATCGCCATGCATTAATACGATTTTAATTTTTTTTACTCGGAAAATTCATTGCATGAGAAAAACTCACGAACGCGTTATTGTTTGCAATTGAACGATGAATGAGAGGATAAAATATATTTTTTAATAAATCAATGGCGTTCCATTTTTTTCTTTATGAATAATGCACCACTTGTGGAGCAAAAAATGCTTTATTTAATTGAAACTGGACCACTCCATAGCTATTGACATCAGCAAAAATTCATTAAAATATCTCACGCGGCTCCGAATGGATGAATAAATTTGTCAGTTTTTTAATAAAACTTTGACACCTTGGATTCTGGAAAACGATGCCCTTAAGGACCCCCATTTATAAAAATATTTCACCTTAAAATAATGCCAGTAATCGCAGCAGTCGGTCACAGTATTTTAAATCACCCTGTATAGGCGTTTCGTTCCCGATACAGAGTCTCGCTTTCCTTGTCTAACGTGGGTCCTTTCAGAACGATCTGGCAACGTCATTGAATTGGCCGACGCAGCCTGACAGCAGACGTCAAAAAGTTCCCAATTTGAAAAATCCGGTTTCACTGTTAACATTCGCTCCACCGGTGGAGAAAACCGCACAAAACGTCGAAGGAAAACGTGCAGACGTGAAGGCCATTAACAATTGTTTCCGAAAAAATGCAAAAATCGATAGATTTTCCAAAATTTTAAGGGAGCAGATTGCGCACAGTCCTTCCTAAGGAACACTAAACCATATACTGAGCGCAATGAAATGTCAAAAGAATTGACGTGCATTTGAAAACCTTAAGTACGCACTTTTCAAATTCCTAAAATATACAGAATGAGATGATTGTATTTCTATTTTGAAAATTGAAATGAAATGAATGAATGAAACAAAAATTGAAAAAAAAAACTTTCAAACCCCTTTAAACTCCAATCGGCAACAGTTTGCCCGACACACGCATAGAAAAAGTTGGAAAACTCACCTTTCAAGATCAGCCTCCAACTTGCTAAAAAGCACAAAACTAAACTGTCCAAGCATTTGAAATGCGATAATCCAGTCCTTTAGCTTGGCACATTTAAGGTAAGCGGTTGCATGAACCCCCTAAAACACACACACACCGAAACTCCAGTGATTTTGAAATCCTGATAGGAAACTTTACCTTAACAGTACAACGGCTTCGAGCAGCTATGCATTAACTTCACCAACGAAAAGCTGCAGCAATTCTTTAATCATCACATGTTCGTGTTAGAACAAGAAGAGTACAAAATTGAGGGTATAAATTGGGTGTTCATAGATTTCGGTATGGATCTGGCGGCTTGCATTGAGTTGATCGAGAAGGTAAAGAGAAAGCGGCTTAGAACTTGTCTGCGTCTGTGAGTGTCTGTTCTCATGTTGGTCCCAAAGAAGAACGTGCTGGGATGTGGTTGTGTTAAACTGTGTTTTATATGTGTGTAGTTCAACGGGTTTGAGCAACTCTGTATCAACTTCACAAATGAGAAACTGCAGCAATTCTTCAACCATCACATGTTTGTGTTGGAGCAAGAGGAATACAAAACTGAAGGCATTAATTGGGTGTTTATAGATTTTGGCATGGATTTAGCTGCGTGTATTGAGTTAATCGAAAAGGTAATTGGGCGAGAATGGGTCGTTAGTAGTTTGGCCTGCAGGATGGTACCTTCGCAGTCGATTGATTGGTCTTGCAGGATACACCGACCAACAAAGAACCGACGGTTGCTTAGTGTTCTAGTTAATGTATTGTGTAGTCAAATTCCAGATTCCACCACTGTAACAGGTCGAGAATCTAGACAATGTGTTCACTTTACTTCTTCCCCCAGTTTAACAGCTTTGAACAGCTCTGTATCAACTTTACGAACGAAAAATTGCAACAATTCTTTAACCATCACATGTTCGTACTTGAGCAAGAAGAGTACAAAATCGAGGGTATTGATTGGGTATTCATTGATTTCGCTATGGATTTGGCCGCTTGCATTGAGTTGATCGAAAAGGTAATTGGAAAACTTCGCGGCAGACAAAATTTAAATGTTCTTATCATTTCCATCCCACGCAGAAGACGTTCTGCGCAATTTACTTCAAATCGACTTGTTTGATGTTGAGAGTTACTAGAATTAAGAGTGTTGTGTGCAAATCTCTCTCTCTTTCTCTTAGCTGACTCCACCCAATGTACAGGGCCTGTGATCACTAATGAGAACTGTAGATTAAATGCTTGTTTGTTTTTCACTTGTGTAGTTCAACAGCTTTGAGCAACTTTGCATCAACTTTACAAATGAAAAGTTGCAACAGTTCTTTAACCATCACATGTTTGTACTTGAACAAGAAGAGTACAAAATTGAAGGTATTGAATGGACCTTCATTGACTTTGGTCTGGACTTGGCTGCTTGTATTGAGTTGATTGAAAAGGTAATTGAGACAGCTGCACATCAAGCAACTCAATGTCCGCAAGGTTTAAGGCTACTGCAAGATTTCAGCGTGTTTTGCGTGTTCTCGATCATCATCCGGCGCGTAGCTAAATGTTTAAATGTATTTGCGTATAGGTCTCTTAGATGACTCCACCCACTGTACAGGGCAAGAGATCACTACTGAGCACCCGTAGTTATATGTTTGTTTGTTTACATGTATAGTTCAACAGCTTTGAGCAACTTTGCATCAACTTCACCAATGAAAAGTTACAACAATTCTTTAATCATCACATGTTTGTGCTTGAACAAGAAGAATACAAACGTGAGGGTATCGAATGGGCTTTCATTGATTTTGGCATGGACTTGGCTGCCTGTATTGAACTTATTGAGAAGGTATAATAGGCACTCGAAGTGCTCCCTCTCAACTAAACAGGTTTCCCGATAGACATAGTGTAGCCCCTAAGATTAAACTCAATTAATATAATCCAAAAGGCAGCCGTTTTTTCTCTCTCTTTCTTAACAAATATAACACAAAAAATACCTCCCTTTCACGGTTTTTTGCACTGATTTTTCTTTAGCACTTTACAGTTTTTCCCGAATTTCAACCACACAATAACCCCCCCTTCATTTTTATCTCAAAGACTGGAATATTACCAAGTTACTCATCAAAAACGCCCTTACAACCGAATACACTCGAAGGGTGTTTCTGGAACTTCACGAGACCAGTTCCGCTTTGGACGCTTCTGTCACTGATTGGCCGCTAACACTTAGTTATTAACTGTAACTAATCCATCATCAAACAACTTTGAATAGTTTCGTACAATTAACCCGAAGAACTTGTGTTAACCAAGACTTAAATTAACGTTTTCAGTATAACGGCTTTAATCAACTGTGCATAAACTACTCAAACGAAAAACTTCAACAGTTTTATAACCATCATATGTTCATTTTGGAACAAGAACAATATAAAATCGAGGGTGTTCCCTGGAAGTTTATCGATTTTGGTTTGGATCTTCAAGCTTGCATTGACTTGATCGAAAAGGTACCATTTTTTTGGACACCTCAAGTACCTTGAGCCTGTAGCTTTTTCTGTAGTTTTCACCAACACGCTGTAGTGTTTGTTGATCTGGGATCACACCTATTTTTTCTTTGGAAATATTAGCCATACATTATTTGTCGATTGTCCTCATAGCGGTCTTCAGATTTCAATTTTGATCACACAGCGAGTTTTCTGATAAAAAATATCAGATTATTTATCAACCACCGTGTATATCAGCCATAAACCTTAATTTTTAAAGGAACTTGTTGTTTTCGCTTTTTTTTTGTTTTTTTTTCCAGAATAATTATGTACGCGCACCAAGAAAAATTTTCAAATTTTTCGTTTGCTGGTTTTTTGCTTAAATTGCGAGAATAGTTACAAGGCAACTTTCATATATTTTAGAAAAACTGATCGTGTAATCTTTAAATTGTCTCTTTTAATCGTAAAATATTTTAATTTTTTTGAGATTGGCCATCCATTAGCCAAATTCTGCCATTTAAGCGCCTTTTTCCAGCTTTATAAACGCGATTTATTGACAATTATTGTTGAAAATGTTTCCAATTTCTTGAACATTTTCACCTTCAATTGCGCAGTTTTAATCCAAAATTATTATTTTGCAATTTTTCACTTTTTTTTTTCACTGATTTTCTTAATTAACATCGTTTAAGGATTTTCTACAAAAGACAAATTTCTTTATCTGAATTTAATTTTTCGAGAATTGTAACCGGTTTCTGGACGCTTACACTTCTTACATCAATTTTGGTTTATTTTGGCCTGAACAAGGTTCATAAAAGAATAATTTTGAAAAAAAAAATCGAAAGATTTTCATAAGTAAATAGAGTCATCTTCTGCTAAATTATTAAAAAATAATATTAATTTCAAAAAATCGTTTCGCTAAGTTAATTTCAAACCTCCGTTATTTGCTTTAGCTTTAGTTTTTTCCCCAGGGTTTCAGACAACTCGAAAATAAACTGATTCGTGAGTTCCTAAAGCCAGAAAATAAATTAGTTTAGGCTTATAAAATCAGGGCGATATTAATTAAATTATCCCGAATTCTCAATAATGCGTGAGCAATAAATTCCGGCATTTTAAAAGCGATTTTTTAATAATTATCGGTGAAAATTGGTCCACTTTCTGGGACTTTTTCACGTTCAATTGCTTATTTTAATTTAAAATTATGATTTTGAAATTTTTACTTGCTCTGATAAGCTTTTCCTAATTAACCTTGTTTCAGAGTCACTGGAATCAAGTCATTTCCTTTGTTTTTTACAAGAGAAAAATATATTCTTGTGAAGTGGGCGTCCGGACATTTCACCTCGATTTTGGGTTATTTTGATCTAAACAAGATTAGCTAAAAAATTAATTTCCGAAAAAAACTTCGAAAGATTTCCATAAGTTAATGAAAGTCATTAATAAATTATGAAAAATATATAAATTCTAAAACTCTTTCATCTTATTTAATTGTTTTTTTCTTCATTTTGATCTTACGTTTTTTACCTGATTTTTTTCAAGCAGTTTCCCGATTTCAACTTCTATAAATTCTTAATAATATGTAAGCAATAAATTCCAGCATTATAAAAGCGATTTTATGACAATTATCGTTAAAAATTTGTTCAATTTCCGTCACATTTTCAAATTCAATTGCGTAGATTCAAATGCAAAAACTCACAAAAGACCCATTTCTTCCCTCTACCTCTAAAAATCTACCGCATAATTTATGGCTAATATCTCCTAGACCTCACGTAGAAATTGAAATCTCCAATGTAAAGCTAGTATATGCACAGTGAGTTCTCAGCTGCTTCGAAAAGGTATTGTAACAATTACTGTAATTTTCGCTGTTTTCCAACTCTGCAAACTATCGTAGAACGTGGATCCTCATTCTATGAAGTTCTTCACAAAAAAACTACGATAGTTTTGCTTTTTTACGACCGATCCGCTTGGCAATGTTCTAATTGAAGCATTTGAAAAATCTAGCCTATGGGTATCTTGTCCATCCTTGAAGAAGAATCTATGTTCCCCAAAGCTACCGATCAAACCTTCGTTGAAAAGTTGAACACCAACCATTTGGGCAAATCTCCCAACTACCAGAAGCCCAAACCACCAAAGCCCGGCCAGCAAGCTGCCCACTTCACCCTTGGTCACTACGCTGGTAATGTACGTCTTCTATTCTCCTCTAGGCTTCCAGTTCCAGGTCTAAATATTCACTTTTATCGTTTAGGTCCCATACAACATCACCGGTTGGTTGGAAAAGAACAAGGATCCCTTGAACGACACCGTTGTCGATCTTTTCAAGAAGGGTACCAACAAGCTGTTGTGCGAAATCTTCTCTGACCATCCCGGACAGTCCGGTGGAGCCGAGGCCAAAGGTAACATTTTTTTCCGTGTCGCATCACAATTTTTCTCGAATCTTCCATCGGATTTTTCATAAAATTACCGAATCTGTCACAGGTGCCAAGAGAACCAAGGGTTCTGCTTTCCAGACTGTATCAGCTATGTACAGGGTAACTACTCTGAAAAACTCGCACGATTCGCTGAGCTCAGAGCTATTACCCATTAATACCTGAAAAGTTCCTCAAAGTGCTGCTAGCTCTCTTCATTTACCCCCCGTACATTTGCTAGTGAATTAATTTTTTATTTCTCGAGCAAACGTATTCCTCCCACCACTGTTTTAATAATTGCTTTAAATTTCTGCATGTTTTATAGGAGGCCGTGGAAAGAAGGGTGGTGGTTTCGCGACTGTATCTTCCGCCTACAAGGTACATAATAGAAGTTTTATCTCCCTCAAAAAAACGATCCTTTACATGTTTAGTTCCGTACAGAATACTCAAAGGAACAGTTCATATCTTGTGTGTTCATAATGGGTTGTCTACACCAAAATTACGGCAACCCTCACCAACACCAACATGCACTTACTGCAAATTTCACCCTAGAACGTACTGGATACGTTTCGTTTTGATGTTGAATTTTGGTAACAACCACCTAAACAACTGATGCTCCATACACCCTTGAGAGTATCCGATTTATTAATCTACATGTTTCGGCACATACTAACTTTTTAATTCTGAATCGATCAGAATCCAAGGTTTCGTCAAATCGACCATTTACTATACAAATATGGCCTCATCAATGTTAATTAACACTGGGTTGTTTTCTTCTAATCTAATTCTCCAAATGAAGCTAAGGCTTTAGCAAACAAGTGTGCCATTTGAAGACTTACACAATAACATCTCTGTTCTAACACCGAACAAAAACAAGTTTACTTGGAGCGAATTGAGTCAATGAGTCCAGATCTAGATCTGCTCTAACACAAACGCTCAGCAGATCTAGAACTGAAGCGCTCCAAACGAACTTCGTTATCTGCTGAAATTCCTTGTTTTGACTGGTTATGCTTTCGCATAGGAACAATTGAACAACCTGATGTCCACCTTGAGAGCCACCCAGCCTCATTTCGTCCGTTGCATCATCCCCAACGAATTGAAACAGCCTGGTCTCATTGACTCCCACTTGGTTATGCACCAGCTGACCTGTAACGGTGTACTTGAAGGTATCCGTATCTGCAGAAAAGGTTTCCCCAACAGGATGGTCTACCCTGACTTCAAACTTCGGTAAGTTCCTTCACGCTAAGCTCGCCCTTCCCCAATATTTCCAAGCAGGTGGCTGAACTGATCACTGAACATATTTACTATCGTCTAGCTACATGATCTTAGCGCCAGCCACCATGGCAGCTGAGAAGGAAGCTAAGGAAGCGGCTAGGAAATGTCTGGAGGAAATTGGCTTAGACCCCGACAGCTACCGAGTTGGACACACCAAGGCAAGACTGTCTTGTCCTTGTCTCAAGTCGCACTGTCTCGTTAGATTTGCAGCCCCATGTACCATGAATTATTCCCCGTTTGTTTCGTTTTTGTCAAATGTGTAACTGTTAATTTTTGCTCTCTAGTTACAAAATCTTGAACCCCTCTGGAGCGTCCAAGGAACCCGACACGAAAAAATGCGCTGATATCATTTTGCAAGCTACCGGTCTTGACAGTGAATTGTACCGTCTTGGTCACACTAAGGTCTCGTCCAGTGTTTATTGTTTGTTACTTTGAACCTTTTGTGTGATCTGTAGCAGCCTTAACCGGCTACAGTTTTATGTGTGGTCCTCTTGTACATTCCCAACCACTACATAGCAATGAAGACATGCTATGCTCTTTGTTTGAGTGTTTCTCATTTGGGTCAATGTATTTCTCTTATGTTGCACCTAAGACGACTGGAAAGAGGAATGCATTGACTCCCTCCTCCGCTCCTGGAGCGAGTAGGGTAACTAAATGTTTTCTGTGTCCTTCATGTGTTATTAATCTTGATCCTCTTGCGTGATCAGATACAAAATTCTGGCACCAAGTTCGATCAAGGCCAGCACCACTCCTGAAAAAGCCGCCGAAATTATTTTGGACGCCATAGCTTTAGAGAAAGAGCAATTTCGGATGGGTAAAACCAAGGTACTGCCCTGGATACTTCAACGAATTGCTTCTCAACACTCAGCTACAGCTATCGCTTAAAAATTAATCGCTTAAACCCTGGCTTTGTGCTCACGATTTTACTTGAGTTTTTTCGCAATTGATTTTTTTTTGGATAGACTATTTCAAATTTTTACTGACCACTTGAGCCAGTAGCTAAATCACGTACTCTCGTAACAACGGCTCTAAAACATCTAATTCCTCTATGTACGCTGTTCAGCTCTTCACGAGAAAAATGCCCGAAACTAATCAAACACTGTTCAACCAATGCAGGTATTCTTCCGTGCTGGTGTTTTGGGTCAGATGGAAGAATTGCGTGATGAACGTTTGGGCAAAATCGTCACCTGGATGCAATCCTGGGTCAGAGGTTATCTGTCCAGGAAAGAGTTTAAGAGGCTGCAAGAGCAACGTTTGGCCCTCCAAGTGTGCCAGAGGAACTTGAGGAAGTACCTCAAGTTGAGGACCTGGCCCTGGTACAAACTGTGGCAGAAGGTCAGGCCTCTCCTCAACGTCACCCGCATCGAGGATGAGATCGCTGTAAGTTTTACTTTTGCACTTTTCGTAAATCCTGGGTGTTCACAAAGGCGGGGGAAAAATATGCGAAACATTTTTTTGGGAAAATCGTTCATTTTGATGGGGTAATTAATGGTTCATGTTGCCAGTATGCGCTAGAAACTACTAGAAATAGGGTTTTGAAGCAAAGCTTGTTCGACAAGGTTTGCAACTTTAAAAATTGAAAATCTGGAACATTTTTGATTAGTTCTTCCACTTATAGCTCAATAATCTAGCAAAGGAAAATATTTATCGTTTAAACGCAAAATATCTTTTTACTATAAGCATTTTCCAACTTATTTTTTAAATTTTACTCACTAAATTTTTCTGAGTTTCCTAATAGTAAAACAAAAATCCAAATTTCCAAATCCAAACGATTTCTTCTTCCCTTTTGAATAATCTACTAACCACCATTGAACCAAAATACGCTTTTAATCAAAAAAGTATTTAAACATTCAATTGGGAAACCTTTTAAACAAAGTAATTTTGCTTTCATTCCTTAATCACGTTTTGAGGCTGTTTATGAAGTTTACTTGATGATGGCTTGTAAATGAATCAAAACGTATTACAACTCTTAGTGATTTTATAGCTGAATTGAACTTTAAAAACGCCAATGTAACTGTTAATTGAAAATTTGCTGAACTAAATTTTGAAAATGTTAACGAAAGTTTTCGCCGTTTATTACAAGAACGTGAAATTTTCCATACGAGTTTTTCCGCATTTAAAGATTTCTAGCATTCAATTAACGAAAAAGTGTTTCAAGTAACAGTTCCGTGTTCTTGATTTTCCGGATATTCTGTTCTTCATCTTGATTGAGTCTGGACGAATTGCGTATTAAAAAATTAGTTATAATAATTTAACTAAATTAATTTATTTGCTCAATATTTAAACGACTCTCGTACGAACAAAAGTTGAATTGCTTTTGTTTTAAAATTATCATTTCTTAGCACTGCAAATGCAGCGTTTATAAACGCTTACTGTACTTATGCTTATCTTACGTGTACTTACTGAAGTACAGATGATGAATTAAGTAACTTCCTTTTACTTAGTTTATCAGCTGAATTATTATCAGCGAAAACTTTCTGTGAACTCTTTCCCGACTTTTTGGACACCCAGTATAAATGTCAATTTACGGATACTGTTTTTGGACCTGATCGAGTTTTATCAACAGATTTTCAGCATTAAATTCGGAAAAAAAATTGAAAAAGTCAAAAACTTATGATTTTCGAATTTTTTCTTTAATTTTGAAAAGCTTTTCAAATTTGCTTTGTCTAGGCACCACAACTCCAGATTCTCGCGAAATTTGTTGATCTAAAGTGAAGTTTTTGAAACATGAACGGGTTTATGCCTGTTTGAGCAGCCTACATCAGTTTTGGTTTTATGTGAATTGAACGGTCGTTAAAAATATAATCTCATAAAAAAGCTTCAAATATTCCCATAAGCAAATGAGAGTCATACTCTGATGGGTTATGGAAAAATTATATAATCTTTCGAAATTATTCTGCTTAATTTATTTGAAATTTCCTTTCTTCATTTTTAGCCTTTTTCGCCGTTTTTTCAGAGAATTTCTCCATGGAAAATGCGATAAAGAACATGTTCAGTTTAAAATCATTCTCTTAAACTTTGAAAACTGTTATGAAACAAAGCGTTTTTGAACACCTTCCTCAAGAATTTCCAATTAAATGTAGGCAACAAATTAGCACACAAACTTTTCCTCGTCAAAAAATCGTTTTTAGTGGTCGAAATTTAAACTATTTTTAAAATAAATCATTTTCTTTTACGATCAGCTTTAATATGTAACACTCAAGTTACCCGATACTTTTTCTCACTGAGGATTAAAGATCCCAAAATAAAAATGTGAAAGTCGTTTCGAGTTTACTCAACCATGTTTCATGCATATTTGTTTGCGCTGACGCATTTTGGTAGTCACAAATACATGAATAACTGTTTTCCACATCCACATGACTAAGAATAGTTGCGAAGTTTAAATGAAGTTTTGCTATGAAAATTCTGCTTGGCATTTTTCGTAATATGAATCCTGCTCGGCACTAAACGCACATTGGAAAGTAAACGATAATGAAAACTGAGCTTTGTATTCGGCAACAGTGATGCTTTTTCAACATTATTTGCAAATGTCACAGAGGTTTAATTAAATTGGGTAATTTAGGAAAATAAATTGACTCTTGCCAGAAAATTTAATCCAGCAAAGCCAATGTGCCTTTGGTTGGCTGGCGATGGCCAGATCCGAAAATATCTCGGATTTTCATTCGCGCACTTAGCGCAAACACGAAAAATACTTTTCCAGATCCTTGATCGAGTATCGAAGTGTTTACGCTATTTTAAACAGGATTTTTACGGGCGCTATTAAATCACCTGTCCTATATTAAATCCTATATTTAAAATTGATCGCCCCCTACCTTCTATTTCTGTCAACTATGTCGGTCATATCGCATATTTTCATAATCTTTCATCTAGATCGTGGGCGTGGCTAATGATGACTTGCCATAAGAGTGTGCATGTTGCGCATTAGCCGCTCAGTCTTCAGACGCTCCGCGATCTCTCCTCAGCTTCTCCTTTCGATCGGTACTTGGACTGAGTCCACTTTGGCTCCGATTGCCCGATTTCAGTAACTCTAATTCGACACGATGGCGTCCGTTGCCGTTAACGAAAAGCATTTGCAAGAAAACCCCGAATCTGAAGCAAAGCCGCACAAAAAGTCAAAGAAACCGAGGGAATCGAAATCGAGCGATATCAGTGATAGTAAAACCGCGGATCTCGTTCAATTGGAGGAGGCCGTGCCTCAAAGTGATTCCACTCTCGAAACATCCCCTGTTGATGTAACGGCTGCTCAAAACGAACCGACGAAAAAATCTCGATCATCCCCTGAAATCGATCCACGAATCGTTGCACTGGAAAGACAAATACTCGATAGCGAATCTTCTTTGCAGAAACTGGAAGAGAAGGCTGCTAAAGCCCAGGAAGCTTACGAGCGTGAGGCTAAGGCCAAGAAGGAGTTGGAAACCTTGTATGCCAAACTCCTGACTGAGAAGACCGATCTGTTGAGCACTCTTGAGGGCGAGAAGGGAAGCCTTTCCGAGACCCAAGAGAGAGCCAACAAATTGCAGGCCCAGAAGAGCGATCTTGAGGCTCAATTACAAGTAAGTACATTGTTTCCCATAAAAAATCCAGTTGCGAGATCAACGCATTTCTCCCATGTAAACAAAATCCAGACACACTAATTTTTATATTTAGACGTTTTTTCTCCGGAATTGTTTGTTCAGATGGACTTTGCATACTTTCCTTGTATATTTATCAAACGCCTAGCGATGTAAGCGGCTTTATTTACCTTCGGCTGAACGTTATAAATTTACAGTCGACACGGATTTTAATCCAGAAGGAAAATGAGGCACACATTCGATGATTTCGCAATGAAAAACAATCTAGTGCTAACACAATTTTAGTGCAAGCCTGTCAATGATGTCTTTCATTAGATAAATCAGCTATTTACGCTAAAATTTTTAATAATTCTTGGCAACTCTTCAAAACTTCGTGTTGGTGATTAGCAATCATTAAAACCACCTAAAAACACTTTATTGGACCCCATCCAATAAAAGTGCATTTAATTAAAAGACACATACCTGGCTGTACTGACCACACAAAATAAATATCAACTCACTTAACAGGAAACTCAAGACCGTCTGAGCCAAGAGGAGGACTCCCGCAACCAACTCACCCAGCAAAAGAAGAAGCTCGAACAAGAAATCAACGGTTTCAAGAAAGACATCGAAGATCTCGAGTTGAACCTCCAAAAGTCCGAACAAGACAAGGCCACCAAGGACCATCAAATCAGGAACTTGAACGATGAAATCGCCCACCAGGACGAGCTCATCAACAAGCTGAACAAGGAGAAGAAGGTTGGAGGCGAAAACAACCAAAAGATCTCCGAAGAACTCCAGGCTGCCGAAGACAAGGTCAACCACTTGAACAAAGTGAAGGCCAAGTTGGAACAGACCTTGGACGAATTGGAAGACTCCCTGGAACGCGAAAAGAAACTCCGTGGTGATGTTGAAAAGTCCAAGAGGAAGGTTGAGGGCGACCTCAAACTCACTCAGGAAGGCGTCGCCGACTTGGAAAGGAACAAGAAGGAACTCGAACAGACCATTCAACGCAAGGACAAGGAAATCTCATCTCTCACCGCTAAACTCGAAGACGAACAATCCGTTGTTGGAAAGACCCAGAAACAGATCAAGGAACTCCAGGCCCGTATCGAAGGTGAGTTTAAGCGGCCCCAAATTCAACCCCACGCAGAACCTCATCGGTGATTTAACATTGCAGAACTCGAAGAAGAAGTGGAAGCCGAACGTCAAGCTCGTGCTAAAGCTGAAAAACAACGTGCTGACCTCGCTAGGGAACTGGAAGAATTGGGAGAACGCCTTGAAGAAGCTGGTGGCGCCACTTCTGCTCAAATTGAATTGAACAAGAAGAGGGAAGCTGAACTTGCCAAGCTCCGCCGTGACTTGGAAGAATCCAACATCCAGCACGAAGGTACTTTGGCTAACTTGCGCAAGAAGCACAACGATGCCGTATCCGAAATGGGCGAGCAGATCGACCAACTCAACAAGCTGAAGGCCAAGTAAGTAACGGCGATTTCATTCAATTGGTTGAAAGTTCCGCAACTGTCTCTCAACCAATGAAAATTTAGGGCAGAAAGAGACCGCGCCAGTATTTACCAAGAACTTCAACAAACTCGCGGCGCAGTGGATCAAGTTGGACGCGAGAAGGTATCGATAATGAAAACCTAGTTTGGTTCTCAATGTTACCTCTTGTGCATCCGATCCATTGTAGTTATTTCGTTCTTCTTGTACAGCCACTGTAGAGTGTTGAGCGGTTTTTTGAGACGTTGTATATCCCCAATGTGTCCGTTCTCCATGGTCTGTTTAGTTACATGTTGTTTTTGTCTTGTCCCTTAGGGCTGAGAAAGAAAAGGCTCAATACTTCGGCGAACTTAACGACCTCCGTGCTTCCGTCGACCATTTGGCTAACGAAAAGGTACTGAAGGGGCACTTAATGTCGCTTTAGACAGCCACTGATCACCACTTCTTGATTTTTGTTGGCGCGCATAACCACGAAGAATCGCTCTTGAGGCTTTTTGTGTTTCTCAACCAACCGTTCCAGTTTTTTACAGTGACGTGAACTAATCCCTGAAGTCGCAAGCTAATCAATTGTTTTCACGCTGATGGTTTTGCTTATGTTAAATGCGCTTCACATGCACTTGATAATGTTGGTTTTATTGTCTAGGCTGCCATTGAAAAGGTATCCAAGCAATTGCAACAGCAACTCAATGACGTGCAAGGAAAACTTGATGAAACCAACCGCACCTTGAACGACTTCGACGCCGCCAAGAAGAAGCTCTCAATTGAAAACTCTGACCTGCTCAGACAATTGGAAGAAGCCGAATCCCAGGTATCCCAACTGAGCAAGATCAAGGTCTCCCTTACCACCCAATTGGAAGACACCAAGAGGTTGGCCGATGAAGAGAGCCGCGAGCGTGCCACCCTTCTGGGCAAATTCCGCAACTTGGAACACGACTTGGACAACATCCGCGAACAAGTGGAAGAAGAGGCTGAAGCCAAGGCCGACATCCAACGCCAGCTCAGCAAGGCCAACGCTGAATCCCAACTGTGGCGCCAGAAATACGAATCCGAAGGTGTCGCCCGCTCTGAAGAACTGGAGGAAGCCAAGAGGAAGCTGCAAGCCCGTCTTGCTGAAGCCGAAGAGACCATCGAGTCCCTCAACCAGAAGGTTGTAGCTCTTGAGAAGACCAAGCAACGTCTGGCCACTGAAGTCGAGGACTTGCAACTGGAAGTCGACCGTGCCACCGCAATTGCCAACGCTGCTGAGAAGAAACAGAAGGCATTCGACAAGATCATTGGAGAATGGAAACTGAAGGTCGATGACTTGGCCGCTGAACTTGACGCCAGCCAGAAGGAGTGCCGCAACTATTCCACCGAATTGTTCAGACTCAAGGGAGCATACGAAGAAGGCCAGGAACAGTTGGAAGCTGTCCGTCGCGAAAACAAGAACCTCGCTGATGAAGTTAAGGACCTGCTTGACCAAATCGGTGAAGGTGGCCGCAACATCCACGAAATCGAAAAGGCCAGAAAGCGCTTGGAGGCCGAAAAAGACGAACTCCAGGCTGCTCTTGAAGAAGCTGAGGCTGCCTTGGAACAGGAAGAGAACAAGGTGTTGAGAAGTCAATTGGAGCTGTCCCAGGTGCGCCAAGAAATCGACAGGCGCATCCAGGAGAAAGAGGAAGAGTTCGAGAACACCAGGAAGAACCACCAACGTGCCCTGGACTCCATGCAAGCCTCCCTGGAAGCCGAAGCCAAGGGTAAAGCTGAGGCCCTCCGCATGAAGAAGAAGTTGGAAGCCGACATCAACGAATTGGAAATTGCTTTGGACCACGCTAACAAGGTAAGACGGGGAATCCTGTGCCAGTTTTGATCAGTAGATGTTAACGTATTCGTTTGCAGGCTAACGCCGAGGCCCAAAAGACCATCAAACGCTACCAACAACAGCTCAAGGACACCCAACAGGCCCTTGAAGAGGAACAACGTGCTCGTGACGAAGCTCGCGAGCAATTGGGCATCTCCGAACGTCGTGCCAACGCCCTGCAAAACGAGCTCGAAGAGTCGCGCACTCTTTTGGAACAATCCGACCGCGCTCGCCGTCAAGCCGAACAAGAATTGGGAGACGCTCACGAACAGCTGAACGACCTCGCCGCCCAGAATGCTTCCATGTCCGCTGCCAAGAGGAAATTGGAAACCGAACTCCAGACATTGCATTCCGACCTTGATGAGCTCCTGAACGAGGCCAAGAACTCCGAAGAAAAGGCCAAGAAAGCCATGGTTGACGCTGCCCGTCTAGCTGACGAACTCCGTGCCGAGCAAGACCACGCTCAAACCCAAGAGAAACTCCGCAAGGCCCTCGAAACTCAAATCAAGGACTTGCAAGTGCGTCTGGACGAGGCTGAAGCCAACGCCCTCAAGGGAGGCAAGAAGGCCATTGCCAAGCTCGAACAGAGAGTGAGGGAACTCGAAAACGAACTCGACGGAGAACAGAGGAGACATGCTGATGCCCAGAAGAACCTCAGGAAATCTGAACGCCGCATCAAGGAGCTGAGCTTCCAAGCTGAAGAGGACAGGAAGAACCACGAGCGCATGCAAGACTTGGTCGACAAACTCCAACAGAAGATCAAGACCTACAAGAGGCAGATCGAGGAAGCCGAAGAAATCGCCGCTCTCAACTTGGCTAAATTCCGCAAGGCACAACAAGAACTGGAGGAAGCCGAAGAACGCGCCGACCTCGCCGAACAAGCTATTGCCAAATTCCGTGCGAAGGGACGTGCTGGATCAAGCGCCAGAGGACAGAGCCCAGCGGTAAGCAACTACATTCTTTAGTCAAATAACCCGAAACATAAAAGACCGTCCACATCCCCGAAAGAAACTTTCACTTTGGCCACTTTTATTCGCACTATTCCTCGATTTATTGACCAATACAGACGACGATTTATGGAAGGTTATCTTCTTAGCCAGCCGATTACGGTCTTACTTGGATATTGTTCTCACAATAAATTGGATCAAATTCAGTTAAACCAACATCGATTTATATACTTTCGTTCTGAGGTTTTGTGTTGACAATAATGTGTAGATCATAGCACATGAGCCCAGTGCAAATTCTTTGCGACTGCCTCCAAAAAGGGACTAATTTTCGTTATTAATTTGCTAAACTTATTGTATCCAATTTATCGATCGCAGCCCGATTCCATTGGCCAATAAATCTGTGGAAAAGTGCGTAGTGTAATACCGCCATTACTACCACTTACTTATGGAGTAATTTGGAATAGAAATGAGGGGGGATTCATCACAAAATAACGCATTTTTTCTAATTCAGCCGCAAGCAAACAAAACCCGCTTAGCAGCAATTGTATTGGAATAAACTACTAGTTAGTGTAAGTGGGACTTTGCGTTCTGGTGACAGTCTTTTGTAAACTTTGTCCCTCTTTGTTGGTTTATTTTATCTTTCGACCCATTTTGCCCATCGATGAGTAATGTTTTCTTCAGATTAAGACCGCAATAACCGGGTCCTGAAGTGAAGCAAACACGTCTTAATTTGCATTTAATTAACGGGGTTTTTCTGTTTTATAGCCAAGACAGCGCCCACAATTGGGAGAAGGTGGTCTTTTCCCCCCAAGGTTCGACCTCGCCCCCGAAGGTGATTACTAGACGTAACGCGCTGTGTTAGTTTTAAAGCAAATAAATGAACTCTGAACGCGGTGTTACCATTCAGGCCGCGAGTGTAATTTCTATTTTTAATTAATAATTTTTAATTGTTACCTACAATTATTTTTTATTTCGTTATGTTAATTTCGCCTTTTTTTCAATTAAAAGTATGATTCCGTTGTTTCATTACATAGTGTTATTATATGGGAAAACGCGGAGAATGGAGGCAAAAAGAGACACGTATTTCCATCACATTCAGCCTTTGGTCTCTGTGTTTCCCAATATAACAAATCAATCCATGTATTTTGTAAAAAGTCCAGGTTATTTTAACTTATTGTATGTGTGGATATGTTGTATGATATAAGGCACCAAATAAACAAATTATATCGTTCTTTTAGTCAGTATTTTATTTATTGCGACTTAAAGCGAACAACAATAGCAATTCATAAATATTTGTCCAAATCCCAATTCAGGGAGTTCCGTAATACAGTAGGTACTTACATATACAGCAAAGCACAAAAAAAATCAGCAATCTCAGCTTTAGTCGAGTCGCCCTACTTGCACAGCAACATCACAATGTGATCTCTCTCCAGCCGATCTTCCAACTGCTGAGAAGTCACTCCGGTGGCACAACAGATCTCATCCACACTGTAAGTTCCAGTGAAAGTCTTCTGCAATTCCGTATGTTCGCCCACAAGGATCGGATACTTTTGAATGCGTCGTATCAATCCCTCTAGTACTCCGAACTGAACCTGAACCAAACCAATACTCAACCAATTTGTGTTTTCCATTACAACTTTTTTGTCCAATATTGCAAATGCAAAGGTTTATTGATCATCGCCGATGAGTTCCAAAGAAAACATTTACTTGGCTTGTTCCTCCCACTTACCAGTTTGCGCTCATTAATTCTCATATTAGCCAAATTGAAGCGGGTGCACAAGTCTCTAATAGTGGTACCTCTACTCATGGAAGCGTATGTTCTAAACACATCGCGCAGGCAAGGAACTTGCCGTTGTGTTCGCGATACGTAAGTCAAGCAACGTTTCTGCAATCAAATTTCAAATTTGCAATTTTTGCAGCTGCCTCAACTCTACAGGGTGATTCAAAATGGGCAACATTCATCTGGAGGTGTTATCTGGGAGTAGGCAGAGAGTGCAGAAAAAATAATCAGTTTTCGTATATCTATAAACCATCGAACGTGTAAATTTCTCGCGTATCTCATGTAGAAGATTCACCTACAGTATCAACCGCGAAGATAACATGCGCTCTCTCACCTAAAAGTTCGCATCTCCGAACAAACGTGAGAAGCAATTTGACATTTTCGGCATTTTTAGAAGAGACTTGACTCAACTTTCATGATGCTCAAAGTTTTATAGCAATCGCCCAGAATCCTGATTTTTTTCTCGCTGAATAGATATCGGTATCAAAATGGATGTTTATACTAAACTACGGTCTCCCCTTTATAAATTCGCAGCTTTCAAACTAAAAACTACGCATCCATTTGACATTTTCGGCATGTTTAGAACACACTTGACTCTGCAAATGTTGAAAGTTTCATAAAAATCTTCCAGAATCCCGATTTTTATAAACCTAGTGAACATCGGACTCAAAATGTATAGGACGCTCAACTGCGTTACCTCTTCTAAAAATTCACACCTTTTAATCTGCAAGTTCTACCAATTTGAAAAGTTCGTCATCTTTAGAAAAGATGTGACTCCAAAGATTTCGAAAGTTTCATCAAAATCCTCCAGAGTCCTGATTTTTTTCCAGTCAGTCAAGTCAATATCGGTATAAAAACGTTTGCACCCCACTGCGCTCTTTCCTTTAAAAAATCAGATATTTCAAACTTTCGTTTCCTTTAATTTGAAAGTTTCGCCACATTCATAAGACACTTGACTCTATAAACACTCTAAGTTTCATAAAAATCGTTTAAAATCTTGATGTTTGTGAGTTTGGTAAGCATCGGAGTCAAAACGAATGTTTACAATCAACTGCGCTCTACATGTAAAAATGCGAACTTTTCAAACTGAAGCGTCTCGCAATTTGAAAGTTTTGTCATCTTTAGAAAACATCTAGAAAGACCCTAAAGACTCTAAAAGAAGACCCTAAAGACTCTGAATCCAATCCCGATTTTTGTCTACGAAGTCAAAATGGATTTTTACACTCAACTGCGCCGTTAACTTTAAAAATTCATATCTTTCAAACTGAAGCTTCTAGCAATTTGAAATTTTCACTATCTTTAGAGCACATCCGACGCTACAGCTGGACAAAGTTTCATAAAAATCATACTTGGTTCTGATTTTTTGTAGAAAATCACAAAATCGAATTGTTGAAAATAAAATAAAGGTTCCTGACTGTTTAAGTGCAGTTATACTAATCAATTGCATATTCAAAAGCAAATATTTTGGAGAAATTGACTTAGATGGGACTCGCCAACCAAACCCCAACCTCTTGGAATAAAATACGACCATTTTGACGGTTTTCGAAGCATCGTATCACTGACCTGTAATTCTCTGTCTTGTGCCAAGGATCTTAACTTCCATGTGGCACAGTAGATATTTCCATACTGGAAAAGAGGCACAAGAGCTACCACTCCATAGTAAACCAGATTTTGAACGCACGCTTTAACCAGGTTGTTGTCGACATCAGAAAGAGCAGCAATTCGAGCTACATGATTGAACCCGTCAATGTAGGGAGTCACTTGCTGAGTAGTCAAATCCCATTGGTGAGGCGGCAGAGCTTTCATAAAAACTGGCACCTGATGGTCCAGAACCGGAGTGGGATCGCTCCGAATTCTGCATACTTTTAAGTGAGTCGCGATGGGGCCTTCTAGCAATGCACATTCACCTACAGAAGAATGTGACCATTAATTCTCTTCTCATTTCCCAAAATCACATGGAGTCTCTTGAGTGGATTTCAATATTTCAGTACCTTTCGTATTCAAGTCTTCCAGAACAGTTTTCAAAATCGGCGTCAATTTCTCATTCGACTTCCCAGTTGATAGAAAACGGCTTTCAATTTCCATGGCCATTAAATAGTCGGAAAATTTTGTCACTACATGCTCGTACTGGACAGTGCGTGTTTCGCTGTCGCATACAAAACACAAGTTAAAATGAAATGCGTTTCTCTCATATTTCTTGTTGTCTATTCGGATGGGGAAACCCAAAACTTTGCAGTCTTCCAATGTCCTAAAGAACAACATGTTCTAGTTGAATTGACAATGTTTCAAGAAGGCACTTTCAAAGTTAATCGATTCGGGGATTTATTCGTTTGTTAATTTCCGACGAAGACCTTAGAAAGATATTAATTGTCGTTAAAAAGACAAAATGCGATTTTGCGGTAACATATGCATGCCGGAGTTTAACATTTTTTTCTTCACAAATCAGCAAAACTACACAGTTTTTTGTATCCATTCAGTAGGGCGAACTCTGTTTTCTAAGCGGAAAGCGCTTCGGTTATCAGTTATAATCAGGCAATCGTCAAGAATTTTTGGTTTTTGCAGGCTGGAGTTTAATATTTATTTCGTCTGCTCCTTGCGATTGGAAATAGACAATTTTGTATGCATTTTATAGGGCAAAGTCACTTCTATAAATGAAGAAAGTTTTGATGTAAAGTGAGTCATTTTTGTATCACATTTGCAGCACAAAGTGGACGAGATTTCGATTTCAAATCATCTTCAGGAATTTTTACTGGGGCAAAGACTGGGGCAAGTTTTATAGATAGACAAAATTTTGACTATTAACCATGCATTTTTCGGGAATTTTTGCAAATTTCCTTTGTATGTTGCGCTTGTTTATGCAGGCCGGAGTTTCACAGTTATTTCTTCAAAAACCGATCGGGATAGAAAGTAGGTAATTTTTGTGTTCAAATTAATTTATTCAATGGGTTTGTTGAATTGTTTGCTTGAACAGATAAGCTAACAATCAACTATAGATAATAAGCTAGTATTCAACTTACACTGTAATGGTGCTCCTTTGTAGCTCAGCTTTGGTGATGATGTAGACACTAATGCTATCAAATAACTCTTTGGAAACAAAGTTTTCAGGCACCTAAAAAAAAAACGTTTTAAATTGGGGCGTTTTAATCAGTGAACAATGAAATAGGATGCAATAAACGAAAATAACCACAACTAATTACCTGGCAAGAGATAATCGGTCCAGCTGTATGATGGAACTCACAGAAAAATATGCACCTGATCAGCCCATCCTTTAGGAGACTGCTGAAGTAATTTTTGTCACTAAAGTCCACAATCATTGTTTAAATCATCAATAAACTATTAAAGAAAACAATCAAAATGTTGAAGATCTGGTTAGAACCATAGATGAAAACAACTTTAGGTTAGAACTATTTTTGTTTTGCTGTCACTGTCAAAGATCAAATGGTCGTCATATGGAACCTACCACAGATAACAAAGTTACCTCTGGGATCTGTGGAACCGACGTCATAAGTTTTGTAAGTTAATTTGATTTCAAATTGCCGTTTTTCTAACGGGTTTATTACATTAACTGATTCTACTTTTTAAATGTTTAGTTATCTGAGTGGTTTTCGGTGTTTTATCCTCACTAGACAAGGCAGTTGACCTTAGTTGTTGCTTGTCAAGGTTATTTCTTCCTTTTGGTTTTTCTGTTTTGCTGGGTTTTTTATCAATTTAAAATATTTAGGAATGTATAAACATTTGCGCGTTTAAACTAGTATAAGTGGAATCCTGCATAGGTCAGGAGAGGAAACCTGGCTTAAAAATCGATTCGGAAAAGTGTTTAAAATTGCATACGAGAAATTGGTGCCTACTTATATTTGCAAACGCACAGTTAAATCGAACATTGAAGTAAGTTTTAGTAAATTGTAGACACGAATCTGTTACGTGAGCTTCATTATTAATTGAAATAATACCTTTTAAAAAATATTTTTCAGTTATTTGGTTTTGAATTTAGGCACATTTACAAAGCTGCGTGTTTAAACAAACCTGCCTATCATTTAATATGTTTTTTTTTCAGAAATTCATCCTTATTCATATATATATATATTCACTTTCGGACTGTAAAAAATGAATGAAACTCGACCTCATAACTCACGAATTCCGAGAACAGTGGAGCAGGTAAGAAGCAGATTTAAAGTTTTTTGCTACAAAATTTTACTTAAAAAGTTTTTAGAAAACTCAATATCTATGTGGCATCTGTTCGGAGGATCTGACGATCGTAGATTCTAGAGTATGCGCTACCGCTTGTGGACATCTATTTTGCAACAGATGCATGCTTAAGAAAATTGAATCGAAAAAACGACCCATTAAATGTCCAAGATGTCTAAAGGTTGTAGCTACCAGGTCACTGAGGACTGTTTACTTATAAAATCTGAACGTTTCCATAAGGTTATACTGTTATTTTTGTCATGTTATGTGTAATTTTATTAAGCGGCATTTTATTATACGTATGTTTTTATTATACATAAGACATTTCAGACCCTGTGAAGACATTTCAAAATTAAAATAGTAATTTATGTATTACAATCAAATAAAACTTTAATTATTTAAAACTTTAGCTTCTACGCAAGAAATTAGAGTTTTATATATGTACTTTGTTTTTTATACAACAGCAAATTGTCTACAACCCTTTTAACAACTAGAGGATTTCCAAGAATCCATAAATCACTCATAATAGCACAGCTTAAAATGAGTCGATCTGTTGATATCAGTTTGGGGGATTTTTGTTGGGCAATATTCTAGCCAACTGTCCATACTGCCCTTTGACTAGATCCAGTTGAGTGAGAAATTTCCATCTCACTCCAAACTCGACGCAAGTTTCCAAAAAAATTGGATAAAACTGCTCTAAATGTCCATGATCAACAGTAGGGAAGAGATGATGTAGAGCGTGATCTCCAAAATTTGTCAGCACCAGAAAATGCGATCCAGTGATATCTCTCCGATCGGCCACAGTGTCCACTTGAAACAATCCCCAGTCCATTTGCTCTTTTGGCCTACAAACCTTAATAAGTTGGATAAAAGCAAAAACATGTTTTTTACCTTGCTGTATCCCCATCATGGAATATATCTGGATGGTGATGGGCAGCATTCAGGCCAACTATACCAAAATGAATGCTGGCTATCACAATGATCCAAATGTACATCAGTAGGCAAATTAATATGGATTTTCCAGTGATCATCCACGATAGAAAAGGAATGGTGAACGGAAGCAATGCAGTCCAGATGAATTGAGAATTTCCTTTCAAAAAGTTTACTGCTAAGCTAAAACGTTGGAAATCAACAAGAGAAATTGAAGAAATAGCGATTGATTTGGCAAAAGGCAAGATTTTTAAATTATTATTATTATACGATTTCTGGATTTTTTCCTTATCAATTTTTCTTCTGGATACTTAATTTGCCAGTTTTCAATCAAGGAAGCAATAATTTGTAATGTTTTTAATTATAACAATATCGTGGATGTCCATTAAAAAATATATCTTAGACTTGCCACCGTTAGAGCCTTTAAAAAAGCACAGTTTTAGGCACAATAAATTAAGAAAAAAAATTATGGAACAAGTTAGCAATAAACAAGTTGTTATTACTACTCATTTACACTCTACTAAAGCAAACCAATAAAATAGTGAAAAAGTTGCATACAAATGCGATGATAAAACATTAACAAAATTAAGTTGAGGATTCGAGCCTGCATCTGAAGCAGCCTGAAAGAAAAAGCGAACAAATGGAAAACCAAGGCAAAGAAAATATTAATTGCAATATTCTAGATTTTTACATTTAAAACCAAAAAAGTTTAATTTGATGACATTTTAGTCTGCAAAAGATATAGAAGCGGTTGATTCTTTTACCGGGAACTTAAAGATTTGTAAGCTAAAAAGACACCGTTAAATCGATTTAGCTTATTTTTATTATTAAATTAATGAATTATTTCTTCAGTTTATTATAGTTTACAAATTTATTATCAGGCCTTCGCTTAAAAAAACTGAAATTTTGCTCGTTCTTACTCGTATAAAGTTGCTGTGTAAAGTCGGTTAATTTGTATAGCATTAACATTGGGTAAGTTTCAAGAAAATTAAGATATTTTTCAATTAAATAAATGAAGTGAGTGCCAAACCTTATAAATGCGAATTAATAATGTTAATTGAGTCTTTTAAACACGCAGCTCTTTAACATAATTAAATGACGACTGAAAATGAGAATTATATATTTTTATATACCGTTTGAATACTTTTTTTGCTATTAATTTTAACACTTTTCTTATTTTAGTTTCTATTAGACACTTTACTATTGTGAATAATAAATTTTTTTTAAATAAGCAGTTTGATTTTCAAAACATGAAAATTGTGTCCCAATTTTTAGAATAAAAGTTAGTAAAACTTCAGCTTCAAAAACGTTTTTAAATCTTTAATTAAACTCTACATGTACTTACGTCTTGAGGTAATGGCCTAAAAACAAAAACGCATAAAATCCGAAAGAATAAACCCATGAACCATGGCGCACCAAAAGATTCTTTTCACCAGGCAAATACTGCAAAAACGGTTCCACTGAGGATATTTCCATGTCGCAAATGGTGTTTGTGTACATGTGATGGCTCAAAACGTGACTTACTCGCCACTCCCTTATGAAAGGTATTTTTCCATGTATATTTAGTTCGACTATTTGCTTGAACTTACCTCGAACTCATCATGGAAAAGTCGAAATAAAACCTTCTAAAGTTGTCTTTTTGATGGAAAAAATTGTGGGCAGCCACAGTGAGCAGGCCTAGGAATATTCCAGAAACCGCTCCAATTGCGAAACTTTCAAAATATACTGCGAGTAAAAACGAAGTTAAATAGCCAGAAAATATTCTATCAATTAACGATTTGCTTCTATCCGCGGGGTTTTCTGGAAGATTTTCCATTTGCTTTATGATGCGCCTTTTGAGGGTTTTGTAAAAGCCGTTTTCATGGAAGGTGAATGGAAAGCTCCTTGGACTCGACGCCTTCCTCAGAAGGAAGCTGGGCAAAAGCATTTCAGCGTTGGTTGAAAGATGGTGGGACTCAAAAGCTTCGGTTATATCTGTGCCCTGTAAACAAGTTTTCAACGTCTTTTCTTTGGAACTAAACTTGTTAGAGACTACTTTGGTCAGCTGAATCCAGTCCTTTCCTCCCGGATGGCTCTCTATAAAGCCGGATAAGTCATAGAGATGGTCATGGATTCTCCAGTAACCCTCTGCTCCGTCGTCGATACTTTTTCCTTCCAGCCACTTTTCAGCTGCAAATTGCCAACATTTTCAAGAAATTTTTTAATGGATCAATCAATGTTCATTCGTACCCGAGTGCAGAGGATGGTCCCTGAGACTAGGGTATTTAATGCCTAAGCTGGATCGAAATACTTTGCTCATATCCATGCCTGGATGGAAAATAAGTAAATTATTTTTTGGTAGGTTATCTGGATAAGTTCCAGTTCAAAATCATCACCTAATGGTGTTTCCAAGAGAAAATAAGTAGGTACCAGGATGCGCCTTTTTGCGTAGATCTCAACCAAATTAAGGCAGAAAGTTTGTAAACCTGCACATTCTATGATTATATGATCATAGAATGTGCAGGGAAACGCCAATATTTGAGACCGGAATGTAGAAAATACTCATATTGTTTAGTTTAGCATTGAAAACCCCCGTTTCAAAATCAACCTTGTTCAAAAGTTAAATTGTTTTGAAAAATTACTTTAATTTAAAAAGCACAATAAACTTTTAAAATGTATGAAAATTTGCACTTATTTTTATTTATTGCAGCGTCATTTTACAGGGCAGGTGACAATATCGGCACTGCCTGACGTTGCGTCGACGTCACTTACTGACGTCTTACAGGCATATGCCTCAATTAAACGTCAAATACTGTCACTTAGGTGATAAAATAACCTAAATTTGACGTAATTTGAACATAAGAATGCAGCCTGCTTGGATTCTTCCACACTTTTTCTTCTTCTACCTTTCAAAGCAAGAAAATCTAATCGACTTACCTGATCAGTTCCGTTAAATAAACAAAGTGGATAACCAACTTCTGAACTAGATAGTGGAATATCAAATGGCCATGATCGCGGTTATCGCAAGCCGGTCTGGTTGGGTCGAACGCAAAAGATTCACATAATTACGATTTGAAATGCGCTTCATTAAAAATTTACATTGCAGATCGAACAGAGGCGTAATAAACAAGTTATATAAAACGTCACCAATAAACACTCATTAATTATAGCACAAAGGTTAAAGGGAAAAAGTTAATTGCAAAACTGCAGTCTTCAATTTTCATTGACTAAAAGTAGTACTTTTACTCGTACAAATCGAGTCAAGTTTTTGATATACAGGGCGAAAGCAAATTTTTGTTTTTTCAACTTTGTCATACAAAAAGTGTCGGAAAATTATTCGGTTTTTAAATACAGAGAGTAAAAATTTGGGCATTTTTATAATGATAATTTATTAAAATGTTCATTCCGCATTACCAATTTTTACATAAAAAACTATTAGGAACCGTACAGGGTGATGTTTTTTCGGCGCTCAAGACGTCTTTTGCCACTAAGAATTTTTTGTGCCTCTAACCGCCGGTTTGCACCGTTTAAACTCCGCGTTGAACTTGCGAACTTTTTGGTCTCTTGTAGTTTTCATGTAGCTGTAACCGTTAACGAGTAATTAGAAAAATTCGTTGAAAAAACTTCTTAATCTTATCAGCCAGAAAATATAATTTTAACAAACTTTTGGGAAATTTGCTTTTGGCTTATTTTTGTTCTTTATTCGTTTGTGGGAAGTTTTCTATAGTAGATTGTGAAATAGCGAATGAATACGACATTTATTAACGAGATGATCTCTCAAATTTCGTGCCTAAAGTTACTGGAGATGTGGATGTTTAACGTTGAATAATTTGGAAAAACATTGATTTTCCATTTTTTTTTCTTAATTTTTTAAGGTGAATTGCGAAAAAATATCTCTCTGTACATTCCTCAGTAGTTTCCTGTGTCAAAACCTTCACATTATTGCAGGCATTGTGTGGTAAAAAGTTCAATAAACTGTCCCGAAAGCTGTAGGAGTTTTGCGAAAAACTATTAAAAATCCAAAATTTTCACCGCCTGGATCTAAAAACCGAAGCGTTTTCCGGCACTTGTTTATATGACAAACACTCCGAGTCAGAAAATTGATTTGTGTTTGTTCAACTTGTAAATTTGATTTTCGCGCATTAAAACTGCCAATCTAGCTAAATAAGAAAACAATTATCGTTAATATTTAATTTTTATTTAAAACGTCTACATTACATAGCTACATAAGTACAAGCTAAACACATATTTACAAAATAACATGACACAATTTTAAGTACCGCCAAACCAAATAGGAAACAAGCATATAAATCGTATATTATTTACAATAATACAAATGTACAATTAGCCTTACGGAAAGTTGAATTGTAGGGTTACGTGATCTTAAGACTATTGGCACTCGCAAGGACTTAGCGGAAATAAATTAGATAAATACTATAAGTACTACTACAATTTTTTTGCAAATTAACTGTTTGGATAATAGAGAAAAATTTTCAGAACGAAATAATATTTTATGTTGCTCCTAAACCATAAAACAACAGTTCTTTGGGGTTCAGTTACCTGAGTGCATTACTACAGTTAGCTCTCAAAATTTAAATCAAACCATCAAATCTGTCGGGGCAAATTGTCTTCAGACCCACCGCGAAAGCACAAGTCCAAGCAAGCCCACTAAATATACAGGGCGAGTGGACACTCCCATAGAGGCGCCAGGTTTGATTTTGTCTCCGCCAAGGAATTTCGTGGCAATTTTGTTCATTATGTCTGGATCTTTAACCAACTTGGAAGCACACGCGGTTCCTTTGATGGCCTCCCCCACTTTAGCAGAGAGTATTCGAAAGTTAACATCATTGTAATCCAAAGAGCTGTACATGTACTGAGGCAATCGATCTGAGAGCACCCACACGTTGCTCTCATTGTCCACTTTCACGTCGTTGGGGAAAACCATCGTAACATTGCTCATGTAGACTCGGCCTTGCGACTCCATGGTGTAAGAAGGATTGGTGGTTCTCCAGCAAGCGATAGCGTTCAGCTGCATGAGGGCGTAGAACAAAACTCCGGTTTTCTTGTCCAAAAACGAGGCCCCACTTTGGCTCTTCGGGCCGCGGCTTCCTAAATATTTAAACTCATAGTAGGCGCTTTTGTTAGTCGCCAAAGCTTCATCTCGCAGGATCTAGAATCGACATGGTTATCGGATGGTTTAGTGGGGTTCCAGCAGAAGCTTACCCGGGTGCTGACGGAAAACTCATCAAAGCTGGTCATTGGGTGGAAGAACAGGGTACTGAAACCGTCTTTTTCCGGCCGCAGCGCCAGCCCAAACACTCCATCGGTCCATTGAAAGTTGATTCCAGCCACTGTCATGTCGCCAGCTACAGGCTGGATGTGGAAGTAGTTGTGCTTGATTTTCCAGCTACGGTTCTGCTTCCAGGAGTACACAACTAAGGCTGGCCCGCCTAAATCGGCCAGATACGCAAAAGTGTTCTACAAAAAAATGGATTCAGTTTTACAGAAGTTATCGAGATCAATTTGGCTTTTCAGTGTGTAAAAACCGTCAATAAGAGGAGCTTCGTTACTTTTTCGGGCTTTACAAGTGAGAAATGTAGGAGATGTTTTCATAATAGTTACAGGGGCGGATCCAGCTTTAAATTCAGGGGGGGTTATGTATAAAAATACAGTCTTATGTTGTCTATGAAATTAGAAAAATTATCGTCGTTTTGTGCTAGGGTGGCGCAAGATTATTGCAAAATTTCATGTTTTCCGTCCCGTTTTGCATGTTTCTCGGAAGCAAAATGAGCAAGAACGCTCGTTTTTACATC